TCAGTCATACTCCTGTCTGCCTGCTGATGTTCCCATTGTCAAGGGGATCCAGGCCAACCCTTCTTTGTATGTTGGATTCATTGAGGGATCTGGGCAGTCCCTCCTTTAGCGTGTTGGGAACGTCCTCAAGTTGTGGTCTTTAGCTGTCCTGACTGTTAACCGTGGACCCCCTGAATCAACCTCCAGTTTTTTTTTTATTGTTTATTTTGTAAAACTAATTTTTAAAATATATTTGTGCAGTGGGCAGCACAGTGGCACCGTTGGTAGAGCTGCCACCTCTCACTGGGAAGATTATTGGATCAAATTCCAGCTGGGGGGTTTCTGGGTGGAGTTTGCATGTTTTCACTGTGCATGCGTGGGTTTTCTTCGGGTACAGTACTCAGATTTCTTCCCACAGACCAAAAACATGCATGTTAGGCTGATTGGTGACTCTAAACTGACCATAGGTGTGAGTGAGAGAATGAATGGTTGTTTGTCTCTGTGTGTCTCTGTAATGGACTGGAGATCTATCCAGTGTGTCCCAAGCCTCTCACACAGTCATAGCTGGACATGGGCACCCAAAATGGAAGAAGTGGGTAAAGATAAAGGATGGGTTGATGGATTGATGGCTGTTTGCCCAGTGGTACATTTTGTTTAGAATCCCTATCCTTTTCTTATAACCTAGTTATATATCTCTTTTCGTCTTCTCTTGCTTGATTAGTATCATTTTGCATGACAAAATTGACATTTGTATGTGTGATATTAGCACAGTTTTGACTAATGACAAGCACAGTTTATTTTAGGGAAAAATAAATACATACCGGTACATAAATACATGCATGCATGTTATTGCATAGGGGAACCAGCACTTTTATGAGCATGTAGAGCTGATTTGTTGACAAATGACACATCACTTTAAGCCATGGTAAATTAAATCTGTTTATATTGGATTTTACTTTAACAATAAAATGTGAAACGATTGTACGTTTCTAGTTTTCATTTTTGTTTTACTATAATTTATCAGACTTGCTAAGTTGCCTCCCAGAACTCATTACTGTAAACAAAGTGGCAACAATGCCAAACGTATTTTTTTTGTGGCACATACACCACGTAAGTGCCATGTGTTGTCATCACTGTATGGTCCCATACAATGACAAAATTAGTTCTCTGCATTTAACCCATCACACGTGAGAGTGGGCAGTTATGGGCAGCAGTTAGGGATTAGGTGTCTTGCTCAAGGACACCACAACATGTGTGGATGAAGGGGAGTTGAACCTGTGACTTTCTGGTCCCATGTTGACTACCTCTACGTCATCCCGGCACAAAAATATATTTGATAATTCTCCAAATTTTCTGAAGCAACATCTTATAGATTTAATGGGACACATGTTTGTGCTTTCATTGATTAAATTTGCTTTAATAGCAATGACGTTTAAATAAAGATAACCATACAATAGCTGTAATGCAAAATGAACGAATAAGGAAGAACATCATTTGGGAAAGCTGATTGTGTGAAACGTCATGCAGTTTATGTAGATCTCAGTCAAAGCCACTTTTTGTGTGTATGAATTTTAAAGAAGCAATACAATAAATATCACAATGAGGACTTTTAAATGAGAATATATACACACACAATGATTTAACCTGTTTTTACTGTGTCGTGACTGTATCATACTTTATTGCTACTTTGTTACATTTCCTGGCTAATGTCACAAACCATACTGAATACTGAGGGCTAACCTAAAAGAGTGAAATAGAAAATCAACCTGGATGAACATAATTTGGAAGCAAACATACAAAATAATATAAAATAAAAAATAATTAAAATACCAGGAAAATTGTCAGTTTTTCACAAGAAAACGGTAAAAAAAAAAAAAAAAATGCATTCACTGTTTTTACCCCAACTATTGGCAAGTGATTTCAAAAGACGACTTGTGTCTGAGACAAAACATCATTCTCTTTGAGTCTGGGGATGAAAATGGTTTGGGTTTTACAACGACAAAGTTCTTAAATTCTTGTTACGACCAGTGAATTTAAACAGATTAGATCCAATCCCAGCCAGTTTTATATGTAAGAAGTAAAAATAAAATTAACATTAATGATCAAAACAACAACTAAGCAAATAAACAGATGAGCAATCAATCCTTTTCATATTTGAGCTCAGACCTAAAGTGTTTGCAGAAAGCTTTTTTTTGG